CCTCATTGACAAGGGTACCTACATAATGAACATTTGTATACCTAATCCTGAATTGTACCTCACATCTTTAAAATAAATTTTTTTTTAATTTTGAAAAAAATAGAAAAGAAATTAATTCTCAAACCTGATTTAAAAAAAGGAAAAAGGAAAAGCTGTGACAGCAGGTTCAACATCTGCCAGGGGGAGTGTAGTTTCTCTTTAACCTGCAGGGCTCCCTCCTGAGCCAGGTTTATCTATTTAGACGTATATATATAAAGTCTCACACTGATCAACTCAAAGCCTAGCCACACTTGTTTCCAAGCTTATTGGTCCTGATTTCTAGACACTTGAAACTTGGGGTCCAAATGAGTGAAACAAGAAAATGTCTAGGGAAATGTGACCAAAACCCTGTCAGTTGAACTGTCTCTCTGAAGTGGCAAGTGTTTCCTACTATGCTCCTGGAAAACCAAGTAATTCTGGGTACTTCTAATGTGGGTTGGGAATGGGGTGAACGGAGAGAGGGTGGACATTCTCCTAGGCCCTACTCTCCCTTCAACTCAAGCAGCTCCACGTTTTTCTGTATTCTACTCTAGTCTTCACAGTAGATATTCTTTAAATATAGTGTTCCAAATTTGAAACCAATTTGAAAACCACTGGACTATGCATATGAGGCAAATCCAGATGTATGAAAAAGAAATGGAACCCTAAACACAAAAGCAAGAAGCAGAAGGTTCCAGGGAGTTGGTGGGAGTCTACACCTGAATGAATTTCCTGAGATATTGCAGTCTCAGATGCAAGTGGAAAGGAGACTAAACCAGGGCAGATGCAGCTCTAGAAGAGAACTCCAGGAATTATCAAGTTCCTTAGGCATGCCACCCTTGGGATTTTCCAGATAGATATACCCCCAACTCAAGGCCAATAAGCACCAGATTGAGGTAGTGTCTAAGAACAATCAGTCCCTAAATGAAAAATACCTTCTAGAGTTGTGCTGTTCCAGAAAAGTTGTTTAGATGTGAACAAAAGTTGTTTCTAAGTCCTGCACAATTATTTTGACCCTTCCTTCCTTCCTCCTTCCCTTTCCTTCTTTCTCCCTACTTGCCCAATTTTCTGAGTACTTATCGAGAGCCAAAAGTAGACAAAATATGTTCTAGCCCCAGCCAGTTTACTGATTTGTTGTGGGGAATAGGCAAGTAAATAGACAACACAACAAAATAAATAAGGTGATGGCAGGGCCTACTGGAGCAGAGAAGAGCACCTTAGGGAAAGTCAGGGAGGTCTTCCTGGGAGAGGTAATCTTATGCTGAATTCTGAAGGATGGAAGAGTGTCAACTTAATAAGGAGGGTTGTTATGGAAAAGCTCTCTGGGCAGAGATTATTATCAAGGACTTTTGTGTCCCAAATGAAATATATGCTCTTTGGAACCAACTGAATTTAGTTTCTAGATCTGGCTCCAATACTCACTAAGAACAATAAAAAGTTATTTACCTTCAGCACCTCTTTTTTTTTAACCTGTAAAATGGAGAAAACCAAAAAAAAAAATACCTTCTAGATGAAAGGGGGGTGATGAACAGAAACTCAAATATAACTAAATATGTGTGTGAAGCCAAGGAAGTTTATCAGGATGTGACTATCTCCTTTTGGAAGAAGATTTCTTATCATTGTACTTAAGTACTTTTCAAAATACAGATTTTCCATTTCTTTTAAAAAGCATCATGGATAATACTTGCCATTTAATTCTGAAAATAATGATACAGATTTTGTCTGAAGATGTTTTTTAAAAAGAGGCAGCCAAAATTAATAGGACCTTTTAAAGCTTTACAGGGTACTTGCTGGTGACTAAAGGTCATTCTATTTTAAACATGTTTATTCCAGAAGCGTGCTTGGAAAGAGAGTCTAACTAAGGCTCAAATCGGTTTCACTTGTAATTTCCATATTGTGTACATCTTATCACTGTTCATATGCACACATAAAATTATATGTGTCCTTTATAACAGAACAATGCTAATATATAAACAGAAAAAATTGGGTCAAATAAAAATGAAGTGCATCACAGTGAGTTACAGAAGTCACAGTGCACTGCTGGCCAGAACAACCATCCAGTTTGGGGCTCGTGAGACTTACAGACAGCTCCTTCCCTTTGTCAGAACCATAAACTTGCCATGTTTTCTACTGTGGGAAGTCTAGTGGAAGGGGTAGGCATAGAAGACTCTAGAGAGTAAACAGACGTGCACAGACACAGAAAGCAGAAGAGGTAGGGGGAATCCGGAAGATGGGAGACACAGCTCTGGGCTCCAGGGTTTGACAGAAACCAGCAGACCTAGCAGCGCTGGCAAGAAGGGAATGTGTTGGGTCACTGGAGAGCACAGCTGGAGGAGGGAAATGCGCTGATCAGCCACTGAAGAAGATGTTTCGGGGGGTGATTCATGAGCCCCCAGCCCTCACCGTTAGCCCTTTTCCATCTCACCCCTAGAAGTCAGCCTTTCATGGTGTCAAGCATACCTTGAAAAGTCATCAATGGAGTTTGCTCCGCCTAGGAGTCATGTGAAAATGAGTGAGTGAGAGGTTTAAGAGTATCACGCTGGGGTACTTTGAGAGGCGTTGACTGGGGTACTTTGAGAGGCACTGATTGTGTCAAAACTCTGAAGAAGGGAGAGAAATAACTGTCTGGCTCTAGGAGAACTAGTTTAGGTGCTTATCACAAACTTGGGTGCTGGGGGAAGCTTTAGAGTACTTTAGCAGATAAGGTCTCTGCTGAGATTATTGGTTTCTAAGACAAATAGTTACAAGGGCGATGTCAGTAAAGATAGGTAAGATGGAAGTGGTGTCTACATGCAAAAATATGTAAAGAATATGGGTGTGAATATGAATTACCCAAATCATGAGCTAGTGAGAGAATTCAGATAGCCTTAAGGGATGTGGTATTTATCACCATGTCTGGCACATCATTATCACCCATGGATTTATTCTATTAGGTTGAATTAAATGTTAAAATCTCCACCTCTTTAGAGTTAGAAAGAACCTGGAAGACACACTGCCCAGTGACCAGCGTGTAGAGATGGGCCTCTCCCTTCCACAGACAGGTGGGCACCTTGGTCATATCTAGGCAGGCCCTACTGCCTTAAACAGTTTCTCTTAGCACCAGCTATACTGCTGCAAGGGATCAAATAACAACAACAACAACAACAAAAATAGCATTTGGAGAAGGAACCAGGAAAACCAGGATCAGCTGTAGAAAGCCGCTCCTAGTAACTGATTCTGTTGGGTAACGGCCTCAGAGCCCCAAAATGTCTGTTTCCTATTCTGCTTTGGGTTATTTTATAATCCTGTTTCATACATATGTGTTCATAAGTTCTATGGGTAGCAATTTGTTTTTAAAACAGTCTCAAAAAATGGACAGATTGAAATACTTGGGTAGGGACTGAGCGTCCATAATGGGCATGTTGGTTGGGAAAGACGGGTGGGCTGAGGAAAGTCAGAGAGAAGTCTTTTTGGAACATGAGAAACTTTGAGGGAACGGGGCAGAGGAGCTTTAGTGTTTCTTGGTTCAAATGTGAGTGACTTCCCCCTTCTCCCGAGTGGCTGTCCATTTATGACACGGTCCCTCCCTTGTTTTCCGCCCACACACTTGTCTTAGAAGGATCTCTTGCCATTCAGTATGCAGGACTCCAGGGACACCAGATGAGATGACCATAACAGAATGGAAAAGGTAGCAAGCAGTGTGCCCTAGGGCTATTGACTCAACCCTCACAACCAGCGGTCTTGGGGAGACAAGTAAAAAAGAAAAAGTGCGTGTCACAGTGTCGGAGATAAAGTAGCCATTCAACAAGTGATTGGCTCCTATGGTTATTTTCCTATATAGAGTGATTCTCATGTTTTTAAAAATTTTTTTTAATTGTCAAATGATATTGTAGATATTTGTGGAGTATATAGTGTTTTGTGTGTATGTGTGTGTGTGTGTGTGTGTGTGTGTGTGTGTGTGTGTGTGTGTGTAGATATATATGGTGATAGATCAAGGTAAATAGCATATCTAGCATCTCAAACATTTATCATTTCTTTGTGTTGAGAACATTTAATATCTTTTCCTTGCTATTTGAAACTGTATGTTATTATTAACTGTAGTCAACCTACCCTAGTACAGAACACTAGAACTTATTCCTCCTGTCTAGCTGTAACTTTGTATCCTTTACTAAATCTCTCCTTAGCAATCATTTTGCATTGTGACTCAATAGTGTCTCTCTCTCTTTCTCTCTCTCTCTCTCTCTCTCTCTCTCTCTCTCTCTCATGCAGGCATATCCAGAGACAGAGACACACACACACACACAACTGATACACTTCTACCATTAATATGTCTCCTGGGATTCTCACATTTCTTTTTAAATTCTGTTCCATTTTGTAAGAAATGCTGATTGAGACCCAGTAAATTGATTTCCTGACCTGCAATGAATAGCAAATAGCTATTTGAAAAACACTATCCTAATGAAATTTGAATGCCCCCAATAGGCCATAAAGGGTTAAAGCAAGTCCCTGTGCCCTCACCACACCACATTCCAATCAAGGAATTAGACATCATTGGGTGATAACAGGACTGAGTTATTTTTCTCTTCTTAGATCTAAAGGGAAGATGGCAATTAGAAAGAGAGTTATAGGAAGTAATAGGAATTGGAGAGAGCAGAAAAGTTCTTAACTCTCTTATTAAAGTTTTATAGTTCAATTACCACATATTTGTTTTATTTTCCAAACTGGCATTGTGGTTTCTGATAATAACAACAACAACAGCAACACACACACACACACACACACACACACACACACATTCACTTTAATTTTACAGCTATATTAAGAATTTTCTACGTGGACCCTGATAAGCACATGTAACATATTTGAAAAATTCGAATGATAAAATAATTGAGATGTAGGTTTCCAGAAAAACAGTAATAAATCAATTAAAAGACCATCTGGTTATACCTCTGCATTTTACAGGTACTATTTTAAATTCTAACTTCTGATATTTTTTTTTCAAGGAAGCTTACAAGTTCGCTATCAGCTAAGCAAGGAAGAATCCCATGTATTCACCATTGATGCCGAGAACTTTGCCAACAGAAGGATGCACCACTTGGAAATTAACCGAGAGGGAAGAGTGCTTACGATTCAGGTACCTTACTTCCCTTCGTTCCACTCAGCCAATGCACCTTCGCTGTTAGATGACATTTTCTGAGCTTCTACCCAAAGCCAAGTGTAGAACCAAGTGCTGGAGGTTTGGGCATGAATCACACTTGGTCCCAGCCTTGAAACTCAACTAGAGTGTCTCAGAATGCACTCCTCACTTCCCACCAGCATCAGCATCACTTTGGACCTTGTTAGAAATGCAAATGATGAGGTCCCACACCAGATCTACTGAATCAGAAACCGTGGGAGAGGGGAGATCAGCAGGTGAGGTTCAGGCCTGCTCCACTCTGATAACCCATGAACTTGATTACAGTGAGGAAGACACACAGGTAAAGAGGAACTCACTATAGATTCCTGCAAGGAAGGAAATGTGTGCAGGTGTTATTGAGAAAGGTACAGGTCCCATTTGGGCATCAGTACTTACTTCCTGGAGGAAGGTGGGCATGAGCCAAGCCTTCAAAAGGAGTAGCAAAGTAGGAGTTGGCCAGGTGGAGAACGGAGAGGAGAGTGCTTAGAAAAAGGGTCCATGTGAGCACAGCCAAGCTACCTAAAAGAGCATGGTGTGTGGTGGGTGCTCCGTGAAATCTTAGCAATCTCAGGATAGAAGGCAAACAGCAGACCATGTCAGATCTCAACAGACAACAGGCAGAGTCCTGGTTATTCCTTTAGAGTCATGACCTCAAGAGAGCCCTGAAATCTGCCCAGCAATCACACCATATCTCTTTTAATCCATCCAGTCTTCTATTCTCCTATTGAGACGTTTTATGCATCCTCTTCTTTCCTTATACTGCCAACAGCTGCAACTCCATCTTGACGCTCAGTGGGTCGCTTTGCTTTCTTTTCTTGTGAAAACAAAAAAGTGGCATTCAGCCTTCAGAAGAGAATATCCACACACTCTCAGCAACCCATGGCCCACCCCTCTGCCTCTGTGTCCTTGCCCTGTCTCTTCTTCCCTGTTGCCGAATCTGAGCAGCTCATGGTTCTAGTTAAGGCCTGCTACCGTCCTACTCGAGGGGCCAGATCTCATACCCAGCTCAAGAACTTTGCTCCAGCTTCTTCTTTTCTCCCACCCTTTTCACCCTTTTCCAGCTCAATTGGATGGCTCCCCAAAGCATGAGACAAGCAAGCATTACACACGTTCAAAACAAACAACAACAAAAGCAAAACCAACAAAAACCTCTCTGAGTTAAAGGAGGAAACCTTTCTCTTCCTCGACTTTATATACAGCCCAATTTTCTGTCATTTTATGCCCAAGTCCTTGGAAATGCGTTTATATATTTTGTCTGCTAATTTTCTCTTTCTTTTCCTTAAGCCCACATCAACAAAGTATTGTCTTTATGCTGCAGCAAAGCTACCTCTCAAGGCACCAATGGCAGTACCTGGCAACATCCAGTGGTCATGCCTCAGTCTTGTCTTATCCTATCAGTGACAATTGACACAGTGATTACTTTCTGCTCTTGAGACTTGACTGGAGACTTGTTGCTTGCTCTTGCCTCTTAAGCCCTCTGCTTCTGTTAGTTGCTCACTCTTGTTTTTTTTTTTTTTTTTTTTGAGTTGGAGTCTCACTGTCACCCAGACTGGAGTGCAGTGGCCGCTCCCGGCCACCACAACCTCGACCTGCTGGGCTCGGGCGATCCTTCTGCCTCAGTCTTCCAAGTAGTTGGAACTACAGGTGCACGCAACACACCCGGCTAATTTTTTTTGATTTATTGTAGAGATGTCTCGCCTGCCCAGGAGGGTCTCGAACTTGTGGACTCAGGCAATCCACTCACCTCAGCCTCCCAAAGGCGTGGATTACAGGCTGAGCCACCAAGCCTGGCTTCACTCTTGTCTTTTTTTGTTGGCCTTCCTCATCTCTCTAAACTACTTTTTGGAGTTCCCCAGACTCCATTCTCAGTTCCTTTTTTTAAAAATCTACACTCACTCCATGGTTTATCTCATTCAATCTTACATTTTTAAATGCCATGTATATGCTGATGAATCAAGCCCAAATGCAGATCTCCCTGAATTCCAAGCCTCATATCCAACTGCCTATTAAACATAACCTTGTGGATGTCTATGAGGCATTTTGAATATTTAAATAAGTACTTAAAATTGAATTACTGAAAATTTCTCCCCAAACCACCACCCCAGGGCTTGAAACATGGAGTGGCAACTCTAGTTTTCCAGTTGCTCGGTCTCAAAATTGTGAGATTCTCTTTTTATCTCTCTTTTACTCTCACACAACATCCCAGGGATGAACAGCTTCTACTTTGACCGAAGCCATGTCATAATCCTTTGCTTAGATTATTATTGTTAACAGTTGCCACTTTATCGACATATCCCTGCTCCTCTTTTTGTTCCCAGGCTGCCTGTTCTCAGCACAACACTCAGAGTGATCCCGTTGAATGAATAGCCAGATGGTGGTGTTCTTCTATCCAAATTCTATCTGTGACTTTTCTTTTCATGCAGAGAAAAGGTCAAGGCCCTTGTGGTGGCTTACAAGGATCTTGATGATCCGACGTTCCCATTCCCTTCCCATGGTTACTTCTCTAATTTTTTCTGTTCCCATTCGCCCTGGAGCTCCATTCATGCCACTCTGGCCTCCTGGCTATTTTCAGAACGCTCGAATTCACTGTTTGCTCTGCCGATCATGCTGTTTCCCATATACCTCACGTCCAACGATTGCACTTCCTTCAGGACTCAACTGACTCAAAAGAGGCCATCTCTGATCACCTTATTGAATACAGCAGCCTCTCTCCTTGACTCCAACTCATGCTGCCTATTACCCTTCCCTTTATTTGGTTTTTCTTAGCACTTAGCATATATTTTTCTTATTTATCAAATTTTCGGTCTTGTCTCCTGCCTGCAGAATATAAGTTGCATGAGCAAAGGAAAGCCATGCCTAACCTAAAGTAGGCTCAGCAGATATCTGTGAACTAAATGAATGAATGCCACAGGGCTTAAGGTACTTTGTGGAGAAGACTGAATTGCCTTGTGGAGCGGGGAAGATAAACCCTTGGATTTTAGGTAGGGGAGATGCCGACTCTTATTAAGAAGCTCCCTGTGATTACTGCACAGGAAGATAGATTTGGCAGTGAGGAGACATAGGGCAGAGACCAGTTGGGAAGAGATTACAAGGTCCTAACTAGGGCAGTGCAAGAGTCATGGAGAGCAGGGCTTGAGAGATGCCGTTAGAGTAGCCTCAGTGGCATTGGATGACCTTTTGGATGTTAGTTATCTCAACTGGGTGGAAGTTCCAGGAGTAATTGTCAAATATATACACACATAATAATTCCAGATTGATCCGAATTTAATGGGCTTACCTCTAGTATTTACTCTGGAAACAAGTGGCGAGGAAGCCTTCTGAGCAAGTTTGAACTGGGGCCAAATCGGCATCAAAGCAATGGGAAGAATGACTTCTTGTTTGAATATATTTTGACTGAGGTTTCCATGGAAAAGCTGGTGAGTGTTCTAGGAGGCATTTGTACATATGACTTTTTTCCTCCTTCTTTATATGTCTTGTCTTCTTTTTTTCACAAATGAGGGACACAAACTGGGCAGTAAAAGATCAGTAAAAGGTATTTCCTTCTCTCCTTCATCTAGAGAATTTTCACCAATCGGTTTATAGGCAATGGTGAGCACTGATTGGTTCAGAGCATACTGTTTCCAAGGGGCTGAAGGGACCAGAAAGAATGAGAGGCAATGCCTTTTTGTTTTTTAACTTTACTTCAGTTTATTGACACAGTATCATAACACACTTGCCTCTCGGACACCTCCACCCTCATTACCCAATCTAAAGATCTTGCTCTTCCTTCCCTAAAGAAAGCTGTGAGTGGAAATAGTAAAGGACAGGCTCCTGCCCTACCCACAGTCCCTCCTCACTCGGCATGCTCACAGCCTGTTAGAGGAGTTATCACTGTGTGCAGCCAGCCAGAGAAAGGCCCCCAAGTGTAGGTGACTCCATGACTTGGTCCTGAATTGCTATTCCTCCTCCCCTCTGTTCTTTGTGACTATAGGAAGGAGACCCTGGGTCCTGGGCTTATAGCCAGGAGGAAGAACTCTTAGAGATGATCTGAGAATTAGAATAGGGCTAGTGTTTTTGTTGTTGTCGTTGTTGTTTGAGTCAGAGTCTCACTCTGTTGTCCAGGTTGGAGTGCAGGAGCACACTCAGGGCTACCGCAACCTCAACCTGCTAAGCTCAGGTGATCTTTCTGCCTCAGCCTTCCAAGTAGCTGGAACTACAGACGTGCACTACCATGCCTGGCTTAATTTTTGATTTATTGAAGAGACAAGGTCTCACCAAGTTCCCTAGGCTGCTCTCAAACCCCTGAGCTGGGGCAATCCTCCCGCCTCGGCCTCCCAAAGTGCTGGGATGACAGATTTGAGCCACCGCGCCTGGTAGGGCTAGTGATTTTTAAGGCTCAAATGTCCCCAAAATGTCCCGGTAGTGAAGGTGAACTTCAATGTCCTTATTTAAAAGACATTGCTAGCCTTAAACAGTAAGCAATAAATTTTAACCAAATTATAGCACAACACTAAGCTGTCAAGAAGGGTCAGGCATTTTTGAAACCAACTAGTTAATTCCTTTTTTGGGAAATAAAGATTCTGAAGCTGAGAGAGGCATTCCTAGAGGGAGATAGATATGGGTGTGATTTCATACTCCATCAGTTATGCAATGGGACCTTAGACAAGTGACTCACCTTTCTGTGCTCCAGTCTACTTATATATCTATAGCTACACCTGTGTCTATCTGCCTGTCGGTCCATCTATCCATCCATTCAGCTAACCATCTATCCATCCATCCATCTATCCACCCATCCATTCATCCATCCTTCCATTGATCTACGAAAGGGTGAATGCACCCAGGTGCAGTCAGTTCTTGTGAAGATTATATGAAAGAATATACCTAAAGAATAAGCATAAGCTTGGCATCTAGGGCTTCCTCCAAAAAAGATCATTCTATTTTCTTCTCTTTGCCTGTTCGTTTAATGACTTCACAAGGTCATGGGATATTCTAAGTTCTGAGATTGGCAAAGCCTCTTTAGGCCAGATCACAACCTTTAGACATCTTAAAGATTTAAAAGATATGCTGCTTCACTCCTTACCATCTCACAAGTTGTAATTCAATACAAAAATAACATTACACCATAAAATAGGCATATGGAGTCTAACAAAATAATGGATGTTTCACTATTTCAGTGATTACTTAGCCCGTATTATAGTCAGTGAAGTTCTAAAAAGAAAATTTTTGTCACACTCCCTACCCCTTTTTATCTTGCTTTGTCCTATGTATTTGCTTAGTTGTATACATAGGTAACTGAACACCTGAGCCAATACTTGTGTACAAGTGCTCTCCTTTCATGCCAAGGCTGGGTCCCACCTGCCAAACCACCCATAATTCATCAATAGCCTCAACTCTCCTTTGAGTCATTCCATCATCCTCTCCAAATTTTTGTAGACGCTCATTTTGCTAAAACAAACAGAAAACCAAAAACTTTTTAAATTGAGGGCCTCTTTCTTCCTTCTTTTTTTCATTACATCAAGTTAAAGTGCTACGAAACAGCGGGTTCCGATAAAGCAAAAGCAAACAGCAGGACAGAATGTACGTCAACAATTAACTCTTCCATGTGTGACATTTGAGCACAGGTCTCTACTGTTCATGGAATCACTTGCAGACGGAAGCTGGAAATATGGAGGCAGAGAGGAGGGGAAGGACAGAAGCGAGGGTGTCTCAATTCAGCCTTCGGTGCTAATAATCCTGGTACTGCTCTCCACTTCACAGAGAATTCCCTCTTTTACCTGGACAGCAGAGCACGGGGGGAGGCCTACATCCCCTGCCCCCCTGCCCCTTGCTGGATGGAGCATTTCTTTCTTTCTTCTTCTTCTTCTTTTGTTTTTTTTTTAGTAGGAGTCTCATTGCCACCCAGGCTGGAGTGCAGTGGCACACTCATGGCCACCGCAGCCTCAACCTGCTGGACTCAGGCAATCCTTCCACCTCAGCCTTCCAAGTAGCTGAAACCACAGGCATGCACCACCTCACCTGGCTAATTTATTATTATTATTATTATTATTATTATTATTATTTATTGTAGAGATGAGGTCTTGCCCAGTTGCCCAGGCTGGTCTCAAACCCCTGGGCTCAGGCAATCCTCTTGCCTCCACCTCCCAAATTGTTGGGATTACAGGCATGAGCCTCTACGCTTGGCTAGTGCAGTTCTGAAGAGAATAGAAGGCAAGTGACAGCTCTGTGGTGGGACAGAAAACAACTGCTTCGGGATACAGGCTGAATCTGAACTCGTGAGCATAAAACAGATTATAGATGGGGATCAAGGGTGCCAAAGAGCTTATGCTTTATGTAAAGTTGTGGGGGCCACCAGAGATGTCACGGTGTTATGATGGACTCTATCTTCATAATCCACCATATAGAAGGGGGAACACACAGAATTCATTTATTCACTCAGCCAACCTTACCAGCTTCTGTGCTAGCCTAAAAACAAGTATGAGTCAGAGTGATCTGTGCCCTCAGAGAGCCAGTAGGGAGTGGGAAGGGAGAGAGAGAGAAAGGGAAGCAGATTATTATAATGCGGTATCTTAAACTGAAGATTAGGGTGTAGAAAAAACTATGATGAGAACAGAGAAAAGGGCCAACTAATCTAACCAAGGAAGAAAGGAAAGCTTTCTGGAGGGGGTTGGAGTCTCAGATCACTTAACCCAACGTCTGGAACCCAGCGAAAACTCAAAATGTTTCTTGAATGAGTACTCCAGAAAGTTCAGAAATAAAAAGACAGTGTTCATCAAGTAGCTTAAATATCTACAGAGGTATGACAAGTAAAGCAGGCATGATTTGTGTTGTGGGTATGTCAATGCACAATGACGCACTGTTCTTGTGACATTGTGTGGTCTTGTCCAAATTGTTGATTTCTGCAGCATGAATCTCTCTATCTGTAATATAGGGATAATAATACATATTTAATAGTATTGGGAGGAATCAATTTTGAAAGACGCGTTAATTTAATGCATGAAATAGTAATGGAGCATGAAATCATGTTCTGGAAGTCATGGCCACGGCTTTTTTTGTAGGGGGAACCACTGGAATCTAGAAGGCTCCCGAAGGAGGGTCACTCTGAGCAAACACGTGCAAAAGGAACATCATGCATTCAATTGCACTGCAATAATATTTGCTCTTTGTTGAACACTTGGTGTGTACAGTACGGCTAGATATGAATCCCTGATGAGCTGCTCCCAAGCTGTGTGGTCAGGTACATGGCCCAGGGTCTTAGTCTCCTTGTTTCACAGGTGAACTATAAAATAATGAGGATTCTTTCCAGGGAAACATCATACTCAGAGTAGATCATGAAAGAGTAGAGCCTGGAAGAAATGAGTAGTATGTGGCTAAACTGAAAAAGGTGGAGGTGAGACAGGTGTGGTGGCTCACACCTGTAATCTCAGAACTTTGAGAGGCCGAGGCTGGCGGATTGCTTGAGCCTAGGAGTGGGAGATCAACATAGGCAACATAGCAAGACCTCGTATCTACAACAACAACAACAAAAAATCAGGCTTGGTGGCACGTACTTGTAACCCCAGCTACTTGGGAGGCTGAGCGGGGAAGACTGCCTGAGCCCAGGAGGTTGTTGCTGCAGTCAGCCGCGATCGTGCCACTGCACTCCGGTTTGGGCAATAGAGTGAGACCCTGACTCAAACAAACAAACAAACGAACAGTGGTGTTGGGGAGCGCTGTCAGGAATGGAACTGGAATTAGCAATAGGTGAGGCTAGGAAGGATCGCTAACGGATGATTCTAGAAATAGACTCCTGCAAGGTGGGTTTATCAACCATCCATGTTGGTGGTAACGGTTCAATTTCTCCTCAGCACCAAATAGTCAGTCAAATTGCAGTTCTTGCCCCAGAAAATCTCTCTGCCCAGACTTGAGTGAGACCAAGTCAGAATTATGAAACAAATCAGGCAGTGGTGGCCCCGAGTCTCCAAGGAAGGAGGAGTAATAGGAAATGAGTGCCAGCTTCCCATTAATGGTAACCCGCACAGGGACTTCCTGAGCAAGTTTCATTCGTTTGCTGGTTTGCAGCAAAGAATTTGGTGAGAAAATCTCAGTGGGGAGGTAAATACCTGTATAAAGCTGCGCACAGTTTCCCAGGGAGAAGACTTGTGTGAAAGCCCTTACTTCATAAAGAAGAAAGAGGTGTTTCATGTGCATTGTGGGAGAATTAGCAAGACGTTTCTAATCTCTCCTGAGAGAAAAATCCCAGAAAGGTCTGCTCTCTGTGTGCGTTTTTCAAGCTCTTTCCAGATGGGCATGTTCTAAGCTTTTTGCCTGCAGATCTCTGCTGATGTGTCTTTGTTTTCTGTTTTCCTGCAGATGGATCAGCAACTTCGACTCAGTTATAACTTCTCCCCAGAAGTGGAGTTCAGGGTTATAAGGTCACTCACCCTGGGCAAAGTCACAGGTATTTCTTATTATTCAGAAATAATTTTCATTCAGGGGTATAGTAATTCAAATCTGGAGACTTTTGCTCCCATAATACCCAAGATCTGGAGCCAAGATTTCTGACTCAGGAAATGCAAGCCTGTATGTGTGGAAGGGGCCTGGCATTTATTTTCACTTTATCAAACTTTGTGAGGCATAAATTGTTACAGTAATTAAGTAAAATAATTATTTTCTACTTGCTTTTAGAATATGCAATTTTGAATTTTACTTAATATTTTACTTAAATGTATTTAATTTTTACCTAAAGAAATTAAGTGAAGAAAGGAAGGATTTGAACAACACAATAATTCATCACCAGTGGAAAGAGAATTGAAATCAATTATAATAGTGGACTTTCTTTTTTTCTACTGGAAGTTCTGTTGATTTTTATCTTACTTATGATAAGTGTATCTATTAATTGCAAGATTGAAATTGTTATATCTTCTTGATGTATTAAACATTTTATCACCCTTAAGTGATTTTTAAAAAAACTTTAATAATGCTTTTTTCTGCTAAAGTATATTTTGCCTGTTACTAATATAGCTATTACAATTTTGTTTAGGTTAGTATGTACCTGGTCAATCTTTTCTCATTCTTTGTCTTTCAAGTTTTTCTTTTTTTAAAGCCTCATAGATCTTATGTAAAACATACAGCTAAATTTAAATTTTTATACTCAATCTAGCCATATCTATTTTCCAAATTGGCAAATGTCAGCCCTTTTGCATTTGGAGCTACTTGTACAGTTAGAATTGTTTCTGCCACCTTATTTCCTATGTATCCAACTTTTCCTGTGATTCTGCTATCTTCTTTCTCTTTCCATAACAATGCAGTGCAGAAAATATTAATAACTAAGCATTTTAAGCAGAAATATATTAAACACAACAAACGAGTTGTTTACAAAAGTATTGCAGCACTTATGGGATGGGTTCTTCTTCGGGTCTTTTGGAATTACTCCCCAAGTAAGTCTGAACTGATTAATGGGGAACTATTACCCACCAATACCATACTGAAGACCAGAAACCATGGTGGCCCCAGTACTCTATGTCAGTTCATAGGTGGCAGGAGACAGAGAATGCTTCAAGCTGCCACACCTTTGCCTGCCAGTAGAAAAAGAAGAAAAGGCAGGAACATGACTCCTGCTACAGTTCTCTAAATTCTTAATGAGTATGTCATTTCTTTTTTTTTTTTTCTTTTTCTTTTTTAAATATGTGGGGTGCAATTCAGGATTAGGTAGACAAATGATCATCGTATAGGTGAACTTTGGGCCTCCCTTTGGACCCCACGATGACTGGTTTGAGATCAGGTATCCTTATTGTTGTCATGTGACCCTCCCCTCCCCTGGAAGTGTACGGCTGCTGCCAATCCCTTTCTTATAGTATTATGATAAATGTTCAGGGTCTGCTTATGAGTGAGAACATGTGGCACTCAGTTCTTTGTTTCTGTGATAGATCATTGAGTATTATAGATTCTAAACCCATCCAAGTTGCTGTGAGGTCCAAATGTTTGTCCTTTATTGCTGCAAAAAAATTCCATGGTGTATATGTACCACATTTTTTAATCCAGTCTACTTTCAATGGGTAGCATGGTTGTTTCTATGTTTTTGCTATTGTGAATAACGCTGCAATAAACATGCATGTGCAGATATCTTCTTTATAGAATGATTTGAGTTCCTCCAGGTACATTCCCAGAAGGGAAATTGCTGGGTCATATGGAAGGTTGATTTTTTAGATCTTTTGGGAATTGCCACATTGTTCTCCACAGAGGTTGTACTAGTTTACACGAGAAGCATTCCTTTTTCCCTGCACTCTCTCCAACATCTGCTATTTTTTGAGTTATTGATGATGGCCATCCTGGCTAGAGTTAGGTGGTATCTCAGGGTGGTTTTAATTTTCATTTCTTTGATGATTAGTGAGGCTGAGCATTTTTTTCATGTATCTGCTGGCTGTTCATATGTCTTCTTTTGAGAAGTGTCTATTTATATCTTTTGCCCACTTTTTAATAGGACTGTTTTTTGTTTTGTTTTGTTTCTTTTAGCACGTTTGAGTGTCTTGTAGATCCTGGATGTTAGGCCTTTGTCAGATACACAGTTGACAAGTATTTTCTCCCATTCTGTGGCTACTTTGCCAATTCTTGCTGGCTTCTTTTGCTTTACAGATGCTTTTTAGTATGGTGAGGTCCCACTTGTCTATCTTATCTCTTATGGAATGGATATTTGTGGTTTTGATCAGGAATTGGCAGCCTATTCCAATTTCCTTAAGGGTGTCTCCTGTGTTTTCTAAGATTCTTATAGTTTGAGGTTTTATGTTTAGGTTTTGATCCATTTAGAGATGATTTTTATGTATTTTGATGTGTAGGGGCCCTATTTCAATCTTCTGCATATGGTAAGCCAGTTTTCCCAGCACCATTTACTGAATAAGTTCTCCTCTCCCCAGTGATTGTTGGTGGAGGCTTTGTCGAAGATGAGTTGGTTGAGAAATTGAAGTTTTGCTTCTGGAATCTCTATCCTGTTTCATTGTTCTATATGCCTGTTCTTTTACCAATGCCAGTCTCTTTTGATTATTGTAGCCTTATAGCAAAGTTTAAAGACTGGAAGTGTGTTTCTTCTCACTGTGTTTGCTTTGGCTATTCATGGTCTTTTATGTCTCCGTATGAACTTCCATATTGTTGATTCTAGGTCTGAATAATGCTGGTAATTTAATAGGTATATATTGAATCTATAGATTGCCTTGGGTAGGATGGACATCTTAACAATGTTGATTCTTACAATTTATGAGCATGGGATATTTATTTTTGTCTTCATTTATTTCTTTGAGCAGTATTCCATAGTTTCATTGTAAAGATCTTTCACTTCTCTGGTTAGGAAGATGACAAGATATTTCTTTCTTTCTTTCTTTCTTTCTTTCTTTTTTTTTTTTTTTGGTGGTGGGCGTATTGTGAATGAGATTGTGCTTTTTATTTGGTTCTCCACCTGTTTCTGTCTCTTATAGAGCTGATCTGGAGGCAGCATAAAGTCTTAGGGATTGAAAGCCTGGGAAGGATTTTAATTCTCCATCACTGATGAAGCTTAGCTTAACTGAGTAGGAAATTATTTTTTGGAACTGTTTCACTATGAGAACTTTGAAGATTGGACTCCAGTCTTCACTAATCTGTAGTGTTCCATAGTTAAGTCTGCTTCTATTCTAATTGGTCCTCCTTGGTATGTAGTTTGATCTTTCTCTCTCACTGCCTTTGGAGTTTTTTTTTTCATACCCACTTTGTGTATGTGAATTACTATGTGTCTAGGAGTTGATTTTCTCATTTGTGCATTGCAGGGATTCTGTGAATCTCTTGTGTTTGGATGGTCGCATCTTTGACGAGATGCAGGAAGTTTTCTTAGATGACTTCATGGAATGTTTGTTCCAGGGCACTCACATTCTCATTTTCTGCTTCGGGGATACTGATTAGGCATACGTTCAGTCTCTTAATATAATTGCACATCTCTTGAAGACTTTGTCTGTCTTTTTAAGCTTTCTTTCTATGTTTTTAACAGTTTGGGTTAGTTCCACATTTTGGTCTTCAAGCTCTGAGATTCTTTCTTCTCCCTGGTTATTTTGGCTTTCCAAGTTTGTCAGTTTAGTATTTATTTTACTGACCATATTCTTTATAGCTTGCATCTCTGTAATTAATTCTTTCATGTTTTTGTCTTTCCTTTCTTGATTCTTATTTATCTTTTCCAACCATTCCCTTATCTCTGTGTTTGTGGTCTGAGACCAGTCATTGTAGGCATTCTTCATTGTTTGAGTACGAAAATCTGTATTCTTATGGACTATTCTTTTTGGACTTTGGGGAGTACTTGTCTTTTTTTGTTGATTTCTCTTCATTTGTGATGATTTTTTTCTTTTCACTTTACTTCCATTGCTCAGTGAGAGAGGGAATAGTTTTCACTTCTGTTTACTCAACTTATTCTTCCTGTGGTACAGCCTCCAGATTTGTTTGATTTTTGAAACCTGGCTGGGGGTAGGGAGCTATGCTCTCCTTTAGCAATTTTGAGATTTGAATAAGGTGTAATAAGGGGGTGCTAATGTTTAAAAGCTGCCTGTAGATCACAATCTTTGCTGACTAGTGTTTGGGCCTTCTAGGACCCACTTTCCACCACTTCATAATATGTTCATGTGAGGGGAATGTATGGATATTCCCTGTGTACAAAATAACATCAGGGAAAGTAAAGGAACTGAGAAAGAGAGGAGGGAGAAGAAAGGACAATGAAGATAACAAAGAAGAGTAGAAAAATCAAACAAACCAACAGACAGACAAACCAGTAAAAAAGAGAAAAAAGAAAAAACAGCTAAAACTTACAATATGAAGATTTTTTGCACATATATATTTTTTCATATACATATATATATCCTTATGTGAAAAAAGAATAAGAAGAAGGAGTAAAACAAAATGAAATATACACACCCCCAGCAAAATGTATAGAGAGAGCAGGGAAAAATAAAACAAAACAAAAAAGCTTTTGTAATCCTTGAGTACCCTCTTTTGGCAGTATCCGAAACTTTGGGTTCTTTGTTGGCATGACCTAAGCACTGCCGCTCTTGGCTCATTACAGAGAGGTGGGGACTCTGACCTCTAGATCTGTCCTCTTGCTCACAGTGCAGTTGGGGGATTCTACAAACCACCCCCAACTGATTCACCTGTGTTCAGCCCTTTCCATGTGTGCTGATCAGGATGCTCCCTCCTGGGTCACATGAGTAGCAAATCATTGGGGAAAAGGAACTGGGTTGGTTTAAAACTCACTCCACTCATCCACTGCAGGCTGGGTTGTCTCCAGCTTGCACTTGTAGACCTGCAAATGTTTCAGTTAGGGGGATGGGGCGCCTGTGTCTGCAGTCTTGGTGTCCTCTCTAGGGTGGCACTGATCAACCTCATAGAGGTGCTGAATTCATCCTTTCATCTTAGGGAGTAGCTCCACTGTTCACATGGGTAGGCTGGATCCTGTCT